GATCCTTAATATCTTATCTTCCTTCGTCTTTCAGAAGTGCAGCCCTCCGTCCTGAACAAGGACTTGGAGGAAAGAATGAGGAACAACCGCCTTCCTTAGTTTTTTCTCCCAGCACTTTAGTTCCCTAAATATGTCTCCTTTCTCTCCACACCCAAGCCCTCCCTCTTTTTCCTTGTTTCTAAAATGAAGAGGTTGACCATTTTGTGCTTGGAGAGCTTGTTTTCTTTCTCATGTGCAGTATTTTACCTTTATCAGCATTCATCCACAGATTGTCATTAAATGCAGTTACAATCACGAAACATCTGAATCCTCAGAAAGGTTTCTTTTCTCCCGCCCATTTTAAAACCTTTAATGAATCTAAAGTCCTCTTGATTTATTTCTGAAGGAGTTTCACAACGAAACGTTAAATGCAGCTTCAACATTATTTGAATCCAGAACTTTTCAAAATGCCCATTCCTCATCGAAACTGGAAAATATGGTGCAGTTTCTCGAAAGCCCACTAGAGGGCGCGCACATTTTTTGATTCCTAGAGCAAGTGTGTCTGTGGGTACTGGCCCTGAAATTTGGGACGTCTCCTTTCCCGTTTTCTGTTTAAGTGGGAGCAAGTGTGGTGAGCCCCCACGTTCCCTCCCCACACCGAGCCATCCCCATCCTATTCAATGACTCCTCATCTGCCATTCCGAGGAATTCTTTTGCTCCCCTAAACCACAACAGTTTCTGTTTTCAGCATTTGCCCTTTTGACGTTTTAGAAGAAATAAGATCCAAGTTTGATGTTGAAAAGAAAGCATTGATTTCTTTGGTGAGAGGATCACTTCTCTCTGTTCAAGTTTTCCCTGGCTGTGGGGAAAAGGCCCCTTGAAGTGTTTAGGGCAGATTCTTTGAACTCAAAAGTCTTTCTGAGAAATCAGTTCCCTCCAGCTGATCTTTTGGAGTTTACCTTAGTCCCACTTCAAGAACATGTTGGGTTTGGAGGAGTTGGGGGCGGCTGGGACAACACTCAGGGTGTCCAGAAGCCACTCCTGGCCATCCTCAGGCAGCCAGGCTGGGCCTCTCAGTGCTCAGGTCCATGTTAGTGCCGGGTGCCACCAGAACCACTTCAGTGATGCTCAGAGCACTGGCAGGGATTGTCATGGAGCTTTTGAACTATCTCCCACGACCCCGTGTGAATTTTTGAGGATGGACTTTTTCATCTCATCTTATATCCTAAGTGGACACACTTTTTTTTATCTCACATATCAGAGACTTCACCAAGAGACCTATCCTTTGGGTAAATCATGATCTAGAGAGGACACCTCTAAACAACATTTCCAAAGCTCTTAGTCTTAGGGGTTGCCCTCAACTTGTGGAACTTGCCTTTTATTGAGTTCCAAAATCCCCTTATATGTAAATATCTATTTTTTGTGCCTTCCCTGGGCTTCCCGCAAATCATGGTAAATATGCCCCGTGGCATGGGGGCAGGAAGTTCCAACTGAGATGGACCTCCGCAATTGACAGAGAGAAACCTGGGAAAATGAGTGGAACCAAGTTCCTGTGAGCCTCAGCATCCCTTTGTGAGTCTCAATTGACCTGCTGCTTAAGGAGATGAACATATATCCTTTTTTTTTTTTAAGGAAGGTGTCAGAAGTCTTCTGAGGCTGTAGATTTATGCAAGTATGCTACTCAAGAGGAAGGCTTTAGGGGAGAGTTATTTATATGCTGTAGTCATTGCACATGCAAAAGGTGAAACTGCGAATCTCTGAATTTCCAGGAGTGGATGTTCTCATGATGAGCACAGCCTTGCAGGTAGCTATTTTGGGGGCCTACAATCCCCATCTCAGAACTGTTAGATTGTTCCAGGCAGGGGAAGACATCATCATTCAGTCATTTCAGAATGACCCTGTTTTCTCGCCCCGGGGACTGTATGACCAGAGATTCAATTCACTCCTTCCTTGGACTCTCTAGTAATAATAGGTGTGCTCATTTCTTTCGCTCTGCAGCAGCTGTGGACCCCACCCCCGACCTCCCTACCCCAGTCATCATTCAAAAGGCATCATGCGTGAGATTGAGTGTGGCCCGATCATTTCCATTTGATGTCTGAAATGAATCAAGGAAAGGAGCCCATTCCTCCCCAAAGGATTGCCCCACTTTGGGGCTGACTGTCCCTGCCCAGAAATGCAGACCAGACCGTTCCCCACACAGAAATATACAATAACCGCTTCAGGAAATTGCCTTCCCTACTGGAGCCCTCGAGCTCTCATCAGAATGTTTCCACAGCACAGCTGATGAGAATTACGACTCACTGAAATATCAGTTTTCTTTGATTGTGACATAAAAACTGGGACATAAATTAAAACCCAATTATCCTTTAAGGGTAATTGGGGTTATAAAACCAAGAGCCTGTGTGAGTCAGTGTGTGGCTCTCGCTGGAGCAGCGTCTGAGGGGAGAGTGTGGGCTCTGCCTTCCCCCTACTTCAGCCCCACACGCGACATCCCGGGGAGACGAATGCCTTCTCTTAGCTGCTCTAGGGAGGGCCAAGAGAGCACCCCACAACTTGGGCTGTGAGGAAATGCCGGGTGCTTCTGGGACATCTGGGTGACCCCTGACACTTGCTCCTGTGACCTGCAGAGCCATGTGGCCTTCCCCCAAGAAGGGGGCTCGAGGTGGAACAAAAGGGGTGAGAGCCCCCCCGTCCAGAGATGGGGGCAGCATTCTCTTCCACCACGCTCCACGCGGCAACGTCCACTCAGAAAGCTGGACTTTGTACCAGGGACGGGATCCACAAAAGTGCCAGGCCAAAATAAAACACACGCACATACACTATACCATACACACACACACACACACACACAGAACACACACAAGCACACACACACACATCACACCTCACTCATATCACACATACATTACACACAAGCATACCACACACACAAACACACACAGACACCAAACATACCCCACACACACACTACACACACCCCACACACCAAACCACACACACACCACACACATACCACACATCACACAAACACAGACACCAAACACACCCCACACACACCAGACACACACAACACACACATAACACAACACCCACACCACAAACACAAACACAGACACCAAACACATGCCCCCACACACACCCACACACAGCCTACACACACCCCACACACATATACACACACACACCCCACACACATGCACACCCACACCCCTCCACACACAACCCACACATATCAAACACACACACACACAACACACACATATCTGGGGGAAGGAGGGAGGGTAAACCTGCTCTGTAAAGAAGAATTTCTTACAGGAAGCCTGGGGATATTGTTGCAAACCAGCAAGCACCCCCACACCTGCAGAGACCAACCTGGCCACCGGCAGCTGAGGCATGTTTGTATAGTTTTCCATCACCTGCATGACAACTTGCCCGTCCCAGGCCCTGCCTCTGCAACCCGAAATCAGCACTGATCTATCCGGCCCACTCCCGGGGTCTGGAATTCCAAGCGTTTCGCTTCCCTGCCTTTCCCAATCTGTCCTGCCCTCCCAGGGTGCACTGCACTGCTCATGTTTTAGAAAGAGCACGACTCCCTCCCCCACGGCAGTGACAGAGACCGTGTCTCTGTCACTCTGCTGATAGTCCCAGGAGGGCAGCTGGGGTGGGGGAGAGCTGCGGGGAGTGGGGCAACCTAGCAGATCCTCAGGAAACCAGGCTGAGGAGGGTGCCCCCCCCCACCCCACCCCTGCAAAGAGCCTCATTCCAGAGTCCTAACTTTTCTTTCTGGAAAATCCACATTGCTGGGAGTCCTGAGCCACCCAGAAGACTTGAGCCCAGCCCCCTTCCAGAGCAAGCCCCGTTTTCCCCAGGAGAACTCTCACCTCAGCAAACAACTTTCTGGCCCCAGGACAGCATAAAGATCCCGGGTGGGGAGGGGGAAGTATGCCTGGAGAGACATGGTAGGTCTGAGGCGGACTTTGGCAATCTTATTTCCTAATCCACTTTCTCATTCACCTCCTCGCAAAGCCTAAGAGAACTCTGTCCCAACTCTTTCAACAGAAGATCGCCACTGGAGTCTCAAAGCAAACGCAAGTATCCATTATAGATAGCAAAGCAGCTGGTTTGGGCGACACTGCCGGCCACTCACCCAGTTAAGGGATTGGAGTGACATCATAATGCTGGAGAAGGTATTGCCAGCCAGCTGGTGTTATTTAAAATACACACAAAGTGGAGGAGGGAAATGTGCGTGCTTACACACACACACACACACACACAGGTTCAAGTTATGCAGAAAAATATGAACAATGGGGAAATAATTTGCCCCTCTGATGGCCTTCCCCTGTGGGGTCTGGGGGTGAAAGGCAGCCTGCTCTAGGAAGGAAGAAAAAGATTTCATTTTATTTTTTCGGTTGGCTTTAGGCTAAGTAAATGTGGACAGAATAAGCATGTGCCAGTGTCCGAAGAGGAGTCAGTGCATGTTACCTGCTCCTCTGTGGGTTCAAAGAAACGAAAGCAATCCCCTCACTTGGCAAATAGGACAAGGGGTCATTCCAGCTCCGTCTTCCCATCTAATTCGCTCCAGAAATCACAGGGTTAAAATCCTAAGGTTTACTGGAGTTGGGTCTTTTCTTTTCTACTTTTTCCTTCTTAAAATCCTGTTTTTCCCCTGCGATGTAAAATCTGCTGCCCGAGAGCCCCCCCAATAAACTCCTTTAATGCTAGTAAGGTGTGTGGGCAGATGTGTGTGTGTGTGTGTGTGTGTGTGTGTGTGTGTGTGTGTGTGTGTGTGTGCTGGTCAGGAGAAAGTTAATCAGAGAACAGATTCTTATATTCTCTGGCAGTATCAGTATTTTAATGTCTGCTAAGCCTGTCACTAACACACATTCTTTTAAGGGAAAAAAATGCTTCTGTGCTCTAGTTTTAAAATGCAAAGGTATGATGTTATTTGTCACCGTGCCCAAAAAAGTCCTTACTCGATAACTTTGCCAGAAGAGGGAGAGAGAGAGAAGGCAAATGTTCCCCCAGCTGTTTCCTGTCTACAGTGTCTGTGTTTTGTAGATAAATGTGAGGATTTTCTCTAAATCCCTCTTCTGTTTGCTAAATCTCACTGTCACTGCTAAATTCAGAGCAGATAGAGCCTGCGCAATGGAATAAAGTCCTCAAAATTGAAATGTGACATTGCTCTCCACATCTCCCATCTCTCTGGATTTCTTTTTGCCTCATTATTCCTGCTAACCAATTCATTTCCAGACTTTGCACTTCAGAAGCAATGGGAAAAATCAGCAGTCTTCCAACCCAATTATTTAAGTGCTGCTTTTGTGATTTCTGGAAGGTAAATATTTTTTACTCTTTTAAGTCATTGGGGAATTTTATTTAAATTGTGTATTGTTTGCTTCTGCCTAGGAATGTTATTCACTTTAAAATGTTCATTGTTTAAGAACTGGGAGTTATTTATAAATTGCTGAATATGCAATTTTGTGGGATCTGAAGAAATAGCTCCGGGAGATGAATGCCTTTGCATAGATATCTGTATGAGTGAAAACTATTGCAAGGTACTTATGCTAAACCCTCCACTTCTGCAAGCTTCAGGGGTCATTATAGAAGATTCCTTTAAATCCTGTCTATGGTTAAGGGCTAGAGAACCTGGATAGAAGCATTTTTTTTTTGCAGGTGCAGATGTTTTATTTTTAAAATCATGTCTCTCTCTCTCTCTCTCTCTCTCTCTCTCTCTGTGTGTGTGTGTATGTGTGTGTGTATGTGTGTGTGTGTAACTTGTCAGGACTTTTATTATAAGGCATGCCACATACAAAGAGTTACATTTGGGATGTTATTTAAAGCTTTTAAATATGATCTTTGGAGTTCAGGTCCCGGAACTGTTTGCACTTAAGCCCGGAGAGTGAAAGTTAAAGTGAAGTTTAATTTGCTCTGTTGAAAAAGAACGCGTTGACAACTCTTGCTGACCTTGCATATTCGGCTAATTTAAACAAATGCATACTGTAGATTGAAAGCGGAAACTTTCTAGCAACTGCTTGTCCAACTTTTCTCTTTGGAAGAAGGCTTTTTCCAGCGAAGTTTGGACTCCGAGGCTGGTGCTGTAAAGCTCTGACTTTTTTTTTTTTTATGCTTGGGGTTGTAAAGTCTCTTTAGGTGAATTTGGCTGCCTCTGTCAATGGACCGGCTTCTTGTTCCCCATCTCTGGCTCTTGTTCAAGTTTCCATTCTCAGCAAAATGATATCTTTCGAAACGTGTGTTTTTCCAATTTGCAAGCACTTTCAAGCCACTGTCACTGACTCCTCCGTGCAGTCGCCTGAGGGCTCAGTTCAGTAACTTCACTGCCACTGAGGGCAACATTCTTTTCTCTGCTTTCAAGCACTCCACTGCTAGCACTTTTCCTAGATAAGTAAGTGGTTTGGGAGTTACGGAATCAGCCTTGTGAGACACCTGATTCTGCTGCCTCTGAGATGCCAAGGCAGAGTGCTGGCGACCTTGCTTTTCAAAGAAATGAAGTCAATGTGTGTGGATCTCAATGAGTGGGTGTATCTGTGCCTAGGGATATCCACACTTCAAATGACACACATGGACATGTGTGCACATCTATGTATATATGAGAATATGTATAGGGTCTGCGTATGCATATATGTATATATATGCTTATATGTGTTTGTTTATGTTACTATGGTATAGCAACTGGAATTTTTGTTTCCCTGTTTAGATGATCCTTAGAGACTGTTGACTGTGATCTTTGCAACTAATTAGAAGTTTGAAAAGGTCCCCAGAGGAACTTTTCAAGCTATGTGCTGAACTTTTTAGGAAAGCTTACTTTGTTGCCGCTCAAGCCTGTGCTCAGAGCAGAAAATAGTTTGGAGGAGCTGTGTGGTCTTTCCAATGGGATTCTAGGGAGAGAAATACAGAAATACAGAAATACCTCATGAACTGATTGAGCTCTGAATCTCCTAGTATTTCCCAAGGCTTGAGGCAGAGGGAAGAAAGGAAGGAGAAGGATTGGAGCTTGGGTCTTGGCTCCTGATGATCACACTAAGTTCAGTGGGGAATTCAAGACTGGTGGGGAGGGGGGGCTAAACTTGGGGGGGGTGAATGGGGGGGGTGGGGGGGGTGGGTGGGGAGGAAGATGGACTCAAATACCAGCTGTGCAATTTGTTCATTGTCTGAATGTACAAAAGCCAGTGACAAGCCTACGGCACACCTGCTGGGTGTCCACGTGTAACTAGATGCTTAAACAAACTCCACCCACAAAGCAGCACATGTTTTTAAGTCCTCCGTTTGCTGTTCACACAGCCTCATCCTACCCACCCCGACCCGTTGTTAAAGATCCGGGAAACCCCCAAATGGGTACACCTAAAGTGAGTATTTTCTTTTTCAGTGATTATTGCCCTCAGTTTTTGCTGGGCATTTGTAATATAGCTCAGACATCTGGATTCAGTTGTTCTTCACTTATTTGTGATCAAAAAGACAGGTCTTTGTGATTTTGGATTCCTGTATGATTTTTTAGAGGACGAATGCTCGAATTTTTTTTATTTTTAGCTCATTCTGGCTCTTTCTTCCTTTCTTCCTATTATACCCTTACCCTTGCTGCCTTAATTTCTTCTGTGTCCTGCAAAATAAGAGGCCCTGGAAATGATGAACATATGGGGCCACTTGTTTTAGACTTTCAACTCCTCAACAAGTTCATTATTGTTTTCTTTTCGGGAACATAATGTGATCGATTTTCTGGTGTACTGAACTATTCTCTGAACTGAAGAAAAAAAGGCACTGGAGGTCTTATTTGTCCTAGAACTATAAGAGCTGATACTTATCTGACAATATAACTGGGGGTGGGAGGAATAAAACAGGGACACGAGAGAAAAAAACGAGAAAAGAAAAAAATCTATTAAAAATCAATCTTAAAATTTTAAATGCTAGAGATTCATATTGCTGGGTTTAAATGTGTAACATTAGACAAAACTATTAAAATCCAGCATAGAGATTTAATGAAGAGCTCAATCACTAAAGTGAATAAGTAGCTCTTACCCTGGATTTCTCTAGAACGGAAGAACTTGAGAGCATCTACAATGGCAGGTGCTTAACCAGTGTTACTCTAAACTCAATGAAGAAGGGAGGGGTGGAGAAGGAATTACTAGAATACTGTATATCTTAACCCTGGCTCATTGCCAGAACATGGAGATATGGTCAGAAAAATCAATTGTTTTTTCTCTTGAAAGAAGAAAAATGAAGTGGAATTTTGCTGAGGTTTCTATTGGAACCCCCCACCACTTTTTCTAAAGGTGTGTGGTTGGTGTGGCATTTAAGCAAACACACCTTTTATGACTAGAGAATATAAGCTCTGGGTGATAACTTGCTAAAAAGCAGGGAGCATTCCTAGTGGCTTTGACTCAGGAAAAAAGGAGGGATTCTATGTGGAGGTTCAACTGGGTAAGAGGAAGAAATGCTCAGGGGCACTGTCATCACTATTCCTATTTTATGCCTATTATTTATGATGATTTGAAAACAGAGGGCCTTGTTATCCTTGACTGTTTTACAAGCATTAAATAGTATTTATGTTGTGCTAACAAAAGCTAGGGGGCTAGGATCTTTTTTTTTTTTCCCAATGTCTGAGTGGAAGTCTAACCACAGACACGGAAATCTTAATGAGCATGATGCAGTCAACTTGGCCATGGATGCTGAGCCATGATGCTGAAAGTTTACAGAGTTAGGAAGGAGGAGAGTCAGAAAACAAATTACCAAATATGTTTCTCCAAAAGTGATGGGTTGAATGAAGCTGCCACTACAGGGAGGTTCCCTAAAGCCTCTTTTTTTTTATGACAGCTTTCTAGCATTACTCTGTTATCCTTTTAATATAGTGCTTTGCTTTGCATCCTACCAGTGATGTAATGCTGCTAAAAGTCAATGCATCTGAGCTAGTGGAGTGTCTCATCTTGGGAGGCTTCCTGGAAGAAGCACCATAGAAAGAAATATCCTCTAAGCGTTGTTTCTGTTGTACTAGGATAAGGACTTGAAACCTTGGAGACCCCTGGGCCCGTTAAGCAGTGGTAGTGGTAGGAGTTTATTTGGCTGTTCTTAAAATAAATAAGTCTCTCTGTAAGATAAAATTAGGATTCCTGTGACTGGGAGGGTGGGGGGCAGGTATTTCTGTGGGCTTTGAATTCAGTTCACAGGAGGCACTCTCATCACCTGTTGATCGGAATGGCTTACTCTGAGAGATTTTAGAGTGCATAAAGAATCGTGTCTGCTTAGCAGATCCCATTCCATTCCTAAACCTTCACATAGCCCAATTGCTGGGTTTAGTTTTATGTTCTTCATTTTTTTGCTCCTACTTGTGTTTTTGTTAACTGTTTTTTTCTTTCTCTGCGTTTTTGTCCCCTTTGTTCTTCTGTCTATTTCATCCTCATGAATTAAAAAACAAATCTGGAGTGCCATGGAGTATTTTCACAATCCCTATTTTAGCCCTTTCATCGGTAAATGAAGAATGATGTCCTGGTTCATTTGATATTCTGGTCAATAATGAATGTATACGTCATCTGGGCATGGCCAATCTTTAGAAAATGTGAATGAATAGGATACTTTGGGTCCCAGTTCTGGCCTGAGCACCCGTGATCATTCCAAAAGTTTTCCAGGTTCTCTGTGTGGTTCCACAAGAGTCACTCTGTTCCCCCTCCAAAGCAAATGTCTGTAGTGAGTCTGGTTCATGGAATTGTAATAAGGACCCATGAAGAAGAAGTGTGAGAAGGACTTCTCAAGTGTCCTCATCTATATTGAGGTCAAAATATGCTCAGTCTATGACACCTTATGACCTGCTGTGCCCCTAGCTGAGCTCTGATTGATGACAGTCATGGAAGGCTGGAACGGAGTGTACCAGAGACCCCTCCCCCCTGCAAGGCCCTGAGGGAAAGCTAACTCTTCCTATTTTTTATTTTGGCAGGTAAAGATGCACATCAAGCCCTCCTCGAATCTCTTCTACCTGATCCTGTGTTTGCTCACCTTCACCAGCTCTGCCTCTGCTGGACCAGAGACACTCTGCGGGGCTGAGCTGGTGGATGCTCTTCAGTTCGTGTGTGGCGACAGGGGCTTTTATTTCAGTAAGTTGCCCTATCCCTTGCAGCTCTGTTGCTTTGCAACCACGGGGAGCAAAGTGTGAGTAACTGAATAATGGCTCATGCCTGCCTGGCAGCTGTCCTTCTCGGCTGAACTTTCCCACCTTCCAGGAGCTGGATGGTTTCAGATGGGGTTTGGCAGGCTTGAAGGATTTAGGATAGAACCTTCCTCCTTAGCACTTTGTTTTTGAAGTCCTTCCTGCTGAGTTTCCTCACCACAATTTTGCTTGATCCACCCTGCCCTGTTCCATTCCTTTCCACTGAAAGGACAGGACAAAATTACAGCAGGGGGCAAATGGGCTTTTTCGGGGGGAGGGGTCAGAGGGAGGGTACCTAGGTTCATATATACTCATGGAGATCTATAAGGCTGGTTTTAAGCATAGGCGATTTGGAGCATAAGAGTAAGGTCTGATATGAACTTGGGAAAAGAATGAAGGGATTATTATTTCTGATGTCCCTAAAGTATGAACTCACCAGGAACTCCTTTCAGAGTCACCTACTCAGGCTTTCTCTAAACTGCAATGCCTTACTAAAATGCCCTCTATGCTAATCGACCTTGATTTTTTTGTTGTTATTGCTTTCCTCCTCTGAGGCTTTCCTGTGATACCTCCATCTGGAAGAGGGTTTCTGACAAATGCAGGGTCACTTACCCTCTAAGTAGGTCTCTGGTGATTAAAAAGTCTCCAGTCAATAAAAATGTAGACAGAGTGGAGGCTTGCAAATAATGAGCACAAGTAAAAGCCAATATTGCCCAGGGGAAATGATCACTTAAAGCATCCACCTCAGAGTTTTCTATCTCCTCAAAGGTATTACAGGAGAGAGACAAATTGAAAACCGGATGCTCATTCTGTAGAATTCTTTGGAATTTCTGAGAGTTCCAGGAAACTGATGCTCAGGACTTCGGTGAGCATGAATCATTCTTAGAGGTTCACATTGTTCAAGTGCAGACAGCTTACCTGTTACCCACTCAGCCTTGAATAGCTTCTCAATGACTCACACACTTCAAGTATCTTTTCTCTTTCTCCCAGGGAACTTGGTCTGTGTGTGTGTGTGTGTTTGTGTGTGTGTGTTTTGTGTGTGTGTGTGTGAGAGAGAGAGAGAGTGAGTGACTGGGGACAGGGGTGGGGGGGTGAGGGTGTGAGGGGGTGGTCTTTGCTGAATGAGAATGCAAAGACAGGAAGACAGGAATTGAGGAAATAGCTTTTTAAATAACTAGTGACAGAGAACCATCCACACTTTCTAAGATTTGAGTGGGCAGTTTCCCCTTCTGATTCCAGCTGAGGTAATCCTGTGCCATTCTCAGTTGCAATGCAAATGAGGGAGGACATGGGGTGAGTGCTTTTCAGATAGAAGTCTTTTTTTACCTTTAAAATATTCCATGGGTGGTGAATGTGTTACATCAGTCTCACCCAGAAATGACTTGTCAGTATTCTTTATTTTGTTGATACTGATTGAGAAAATGGATATGTGGAAAACACTTTTTAAGAAAGAAAAAAGAGTCCAAAAGAATTTTTATCCTTAAAAACCCATTTATATGACTTCTTTGATCCATTTCATTAAGTGATTGACAAGCTTGCCATGTCTTCTACTATGTACCAAGCTGAATTGTCTTGTTTAATGTAACATGTTATGATGTGACAAGGCATACTACATGCACAGTGTCAAGATACAGGGCCCTTCTGTTCCTGGGCTTTTATATCTCATCATATATGAAAACGAGATGCAAAATGAGAATGGAAAGAATGGTTTAGTCCCATGGTTCAAAAGAGTTAACACAGAGGTGAAGATGCTTGCTTGCTTTGTATGAGATCAGTCCTGGTTAGATCTGCAGCGCTGATCTCCCTGAGTACCGCTAGGGGTCACGCCTGAGCACAGAGCTAGGAATAGCCCCTAAACCCCACCAGGTGTGGCCCAACTCCCCCCCCCCAATATTTTAAATTTAAATTTAAAACAAAAAGAATGATTCAGTACCAGGTAAGTATATGTGGTTCTAGACACTTAGAAATATGCATATCAAATATAATGAAAACCAATTTCAGGGCACTAAAGGATTATTTCATTCTGTTACTCTAATTCTAGCAAACTGTGTATCCTACTTTAATATCTTGAAAGTATAATGTTATATAAGGCAACTCTGGATGTGCAGATAGTGACTTCAAATAGAAAATGGCCTTTTTAAAATGCATTATTATATTGTTTGTTATTGAGATCTATGTTTTATAAATTCTGCCTAATTCTGTGACTTATTTGTTCTTAATGTGGCATAGACCTTCATACGCATCGGTATTCTCGTTCATTTTATAGCCAACTAAACAATCCTTTTTGCCCCCTCCCCCAAATTTCTAGCTCTTTTAAAACTCTTTCATTTGAAAGATTAATGAAAAAGCTGCTGTGTGTCTGACTCTATGCATGAATGAAATATCTAGAAGTGAATGAGGGATTGATTTTTGCCTCCAAAGAACTCAAAATTTAGTTGGAAGATTAAAAATTTCATTATCAAGTATCATAAGATTTTTAAAAAGTAATAATGGGAGATCAGACGAGATCGGGCGCCTTCAGGGCTGGAGCGATAGCACAGCTGTAGGGCATTTGCCTTGCACACAGCCAACATGGCCGACCCGAGTTCGATTCCTCTGCCCCTCTCAGAGTGCCTGGCAAGCTACTGAGAGTATCTCGCCCGCACGGCAGAGCCTGGCAAGCTCCTGGTGCAATATTCGATATGCCAAACACAGTAACAACAAAGTCTCCAATGGAGATGTTACTGGGCCCGCTCGAGCAAATCGACGAACAACGGGAGGGCCTTTATCTTTACCTTTAATAATGGGAGAGGGACCAGTGTACAGTAGTTAAGGCGCTTGCATCCATCCCCGGCATGACAGATTGTCCCCAAGGCACTGCCAGGAGTGATCCCTGAGTGCAGAGCTAGGAGAAAGCCCTGGGTATTGCCCACTGTAGCCCCCAAACAAAACAAAACAAAATAATTATGGGATGGGAGAATAGGTTATAGTCATTTTTTTTATTTCCTTAATATTTCATCCCATTTTTAAAATTACTTACCAGCATCCATCCTAACAATAGTCAGTCAAAAACCATATTTATGTACCAGTGAATCATAGTATTCAGTCCTAGGCTGGGCTGATATAGTAACAGCTCATATTTGATGGTTGATGAGATTAAATAGAATGGAAACCATTTGAATAAGATATAATTACTTGTTTGGAACCTTAGTCTTTAGAACCACTCAGTATTGGGTTTATCAAGTACTTTTGTGCAATTCTTCTCACATTCCCTCAGCTCTTTGATAAAACTGTTTTTTTAAACTGAATATAATAAATACTAATAAAGACCCAGAAGCTGCATTTTTGTCTTCCCCAGGCTACAAAGATGATCTGTTTTGTGTCTAAACCTATTATTTTTATAGGCATTAACTGTTGTCAACGAATTTTATTGAGGTTCCTTTCTGTCTCCTGAGATTCACTGTGCGTGGAGATGTCAGCTTTTGGCATTGAAAGTCTTTGGAACTTTTATTAGAGAAAAGGAGTCTTACCCACCTCTATCCCCTGTCAATTGCTTCATTATTGTTTTTACTTTTATTTTCAAAGTTTGTGATTTGCCTTTTATATTTTAAAACACTTCATATCTACTTTGAAAACTTAGAATTTTTTTTTAAGTAGTAGTAAGCAGTTTTTGCCTTAGTCTGAAATCTTGGCATCTGGAAGAAAAAAAAAGTCTCCAGACCTATATTTTTGTCTGTACAAAAGTGCTTGACAAGAAAATATTTTCTCAACCTTCTTAGGGACAGTAGAGTTGTCCAATACAACAATCTCTAATGGAAATCTTCAGAATGAAATTTATGTAATGTTCATTTTTCATTGAATGACCCAATGTTATCACAGGTTTTTATTTCTCTTCAATTTCTACAAGAGCACAGTGAAAGAAAACTTCTCAAATGTTTTGTGAACATCTTTCCATGGTAAATAGAACAGTCTTTCTGTAATTAATGGTGCTTCCACAGGTATTTAATGAAATGACATTTCAATGAAGAGCTAATCACTAATTCTGCCCTATGCCTTGGAGTGACAGAATCAATAAAACCTGGTTTGAACATATTTCTTCCTGCAAGGAAAATGGCAGCCTAGTAGAGGTGGCAGGTAAATTTGGAAAAATCTTTTACCAAACTGAAGTAACCCTATTAGAGGGTTATTTTATTTATTTATTTATTTTTATTGAATCGCTGTGAGATAAAACTTATTTTCAGTGAAACAAGCAATATGAGAAGAGTTTGAAGTGAAATAGAAGCTAAGCTTGCTAAAGACCCAATTTTTGACAACCATAGTGATTAAACATTTTAACATGTGCTTTAGAGCTTGTGGAGTTTCTCTCCTTAGAGATTCTTTAAAAGTTGATGGAAAATCAACCGTTTGGGATGGTTTCAATTTAGAGCTACCCAAAGAAAGTGAATTTCTAGGGTTCTTTTTAGTTTTAAGAGTCTATAAAAGTTCCCTTAAATAAACTGTATATGCTTTACCTAGGAGGTCTGGGAAAAGAGAGAAGTAAATCAATTAAAGAAGAAAGTTGGATACCCTTTGGGCTATTCTGAATTTATAGCTTTTGTAAAACATAGATCCAATGCATAGTTATTAAAGGCAGGCCTGGTATTTACCAAAAAAAATGGCATACTCCATGTGTCGAGGCATATTGTTTTGTAAAGAGTTTAAGTCGAACATTCCAATAAATTCCATTGCTAGTGATTGCAACAACTTTCCTATATCTAAGTTATTATGTTATTGCAAACTCTTTTATTTGAAAATTATCAGAAAACAATTTCCACACTGTCATTCACTAGCTGTACAATTTGAGCTGGCATTTAAATTCCCTGGGCTAAAGTGTCCTTGTCTATAAAACAAGGGAATTTTGTTAAAGTAAATGACCTCTTCTAACTTTTATAGACTCATAGTCTGTGTTATAATTAACAAGGATTTTGT